CCATCGAATAAGGCACTCATTATCCCACCATTATTTACAGTTATCGAATACATCTTACGGCATTATCTGAGAATCGTATCGATCGCACAAGGCGAGCGCAAAAGATTAAAACCATGTCAGTATCCCTTATGAGAACTGCCATCTCAACCAATCAAACGAAAGACCATAACCAATCGTGACTTGTGCACCCGCGTTTTCCCGCGCTTTTTAAACAGTTGACTTGTTTTTACTTTGATATCTCATTGTGTTATTGTGATGTTAATCCTTACACTGACTGGCAGTTGTACTTTCTCTGGGTTTACTTTTTTGACACTCGCTTGAAGAGTGCTCTAGTTTTGCTTCTGACCAGTTGATATAGTGATACATGTGTTCCACTCCAACAATATCAACGCAGGACTAAAACCACGTGTAACTTGGTCACATGTGTTTTTGCGCTGTCAAGGAGACTTTTTAATTGAGTGTTGAAAGTTATCCTCGCTTTCTGTAATTTTGCTTTACTTAGCTGTGATTGGTCCTGAATACTCGCGATATCTTCTCAACCGAAACTAATGAAATTCAAAACTAAAAGCAATCTCAACTTAGTCGCTCACGTTTTCCTGCGCTTTAGCCAGTTTGGTGACAGGTCGAGTTTAGTTTGAATTTTTACAAGCTCTCCAAGATAATTTTCTTTCTTGATTCTCTTTAGCCGTTGTGATTACCTTGGTTTTGGTTTTTGATATGGTTTACATGTTCGAGTTCTCGATCAAAACAATTCCAGTCCTGGATATATTTCAACACTGTTTCAGTCCAACTATGCCTGTAGGAGTTGCTTGTGTATAGTAACATGCCTGGTCTTCACATGTAACCTCTCCTCTCTTTTTTTCTTCCAGCCATTGCACTGTTCGTTTCACTTATCATCAATATATTCGTGGTCGCAGTATTTGCAAAGGTAAAGCTATTTTTTTTACCAGTGGTTGTTCCAGAAATTAAAGAAAAATAGTACCAAATAATCCTCGTTTTACAGCCCTACGAAACTGCGCGAGGAGGGACAAAACGACAGCTTTGCACAAGCAAAAGAAATGCAAAACGTGAGAAGATAGGTAGAAAGGGAAAGAGCTGGGGTTTATCATAAAATTCTTACTGTCTGAGTTTGGTTGGAAAGGACTGAAGCCTAACCGATGCTTTTTCATTCCTCTGCTTCTATCACGCTGTTTTAATAACACGCTTCGTTCAGCTAACCGAACACCCAGAATAGGCTATGGATCGAAGTTGTCATTCTCACTGTGTTTTTTTTATAATTATTATTTTTAGGCATTTTATAATACTACATATGGGCAAGTGGTGAGTCTGTAATTATTTTTAGTTCGTTTCCATTCCAGCTTATGACAAAAAGGACATACCTGCAGTAGTACATTAACAGTTTAGTCCTTCACGCCTCAGCATCAGTATCTATTTTCTCCATACTGTTCTCTATACATTTCCTGAGGTGCTGATAAGGAGAATTTGTTGAACAATCAAGAGCTTCTTTGAGTTGGTGATCATTTCCTTTATTCTCATGACCATAGTGTGTGATTCAGGACTGATATTATAAGGAGAAGTAAGGTGCTAATCACTCCTAGGGTCAAACAGGTACTACAACACTACTTGAAAGAATATGGTACAGAATCAAACAGTTACAATACTGCTGCATTGCAAAGTCTTTGTTTGAAGAGGTACAATACTTCTGCCAACAGGTGTCATGTATTCTTCATTCAAGGATTGAGAGTACTTCCTTTTACTATCAATATTCTCGTGTTACTACATTTCTTAATGAAAACCCCGACAATCTCTTTCTTTTCAGTATCATAAATGCATTGGAAACAAGATAAGCCAAGCTGAAATCTTTAATGTGAACAAGAGCAGGGATCCTCATGTAAGAATCTTAGAACAATGCGATTTCGTTAATCTTTCAAATACAAACATCTGGTAAAGTTTGTGTGAAAGTGTTTCTTGATTGATTTGTCATATATAACGTAAAAAAGCAGAGAATATCGAATACTCATTTCTCTATGTATAGATTACTTGGAATTCCACCATCGACGGAGACCTTTACAAAGGGGTAAGAACTGTTTGTGTTTTGATAGTTAAGACATTGGTTGAGACAGTTGTATCGATTAGTTTATGCTAAAACAGTGGATAGCGTTGAAGGTGTACTCTGATTGGCTGCTCAAACTCCGAATATTCTTTGCTATTTACATCCGAGCTACGCGTGCGGGATTTGCGGCCGAAAATATTGTAATCGTTGCAGGAATAAATGAGTTGATATCATCTTTTGGTGCTACATTGTCTCCCTGATTTAGTATTTTCTAGAACAACTATTCACCTCAGTGTTGGTAGCTAGCGGTGGATATTTACCTGGACGCTTTGTGGCCCGGTTAATATCCTCACTAGCCACCTCCACTTCGGTGTGTAGTCGCTAATTATTGCAGTGCAGTAGCCATCGTTTTAAAGTCTTATCCATCTATCTTTTCAGGGTGTCTTCCTCGGATGCAAGTTTGGAAAAGCAGCGTTGTATATTTGGGGCATAGGAATCCTAGCAGCTGGTCAAAGCTCTACTATGACTGTAAGTATTGGCTTCTTAAAAAAATGAAACACGGTTGCTTTTTATCTGAGGCTTTATGCACTACGTGACGCACAAAGGAAAGGTGAAAGTGTCCATCGTGTTTCTTGAGCGTTAGAGTAAGCACTCGTAATGGTTACTGTTATTGTGGTCAATCGTTCTTGTGATCTTAAAAAAATATAGATCATATTCAAGGAAACTGAGCTTCAAACCCAGGTTATCAAACAACCAATCAGTTGAAAGGAAAATATCTCAAAGAGCCAATGAGTTCGCAGAGTAAAAGTATAAAGTAGTAAACTGCTTGAAGCGCGAGTAAACGCGAATGATCCTGTCGGAGTTGATCATAGTGTTGAATCTGATTGGTTGTGAGGTTGGCGCTAGTTTTCCTAACCAATCAAATGGCGAAGTGAAGCAAAACCAAACAATTCCCTGGATAACTTTCGACACAATTCTCCCAAAGCCTGTTGGGTTGAATTTGCTCTCGCTTTCTGCTGCTAAAAGCTAATAGCATCACTTTTGTTTGTCTTCCTAGGGAACCTACTCAGGCCAGTTTGCTATGGAGGTATGAAGCGATTTAGCGAATTTGATTATCCGTTATTCTCATTGAATAATTTGTGCTTGTCCACTCCTCAACGATTGTTGATATTTCCTCGATAAGAGACAATCTCTTGATTTGATTTATGCACTGCAGGGCTTCTTAAAGATCTCTTGGGCAAGATGGAAGCGAGTGCTGTTTACCAGATCAATCGCCATTGCTCCAACCCTTTTTGTGGCTTTCTACGAAGGAGTCCAGGATTTGACAGGAATGAATGATTTCCTTAATGTACTACAGAGTTTGCAGGTAAATTGTCGCTGGTATAGTTTCGAACCCCTTTTTTAATATCAATAATCTTACCTTGAGGGAAACCTTCAAATTGATGCTTTGTCAGGGTATAAAATCCACGTCGAGATTGGCTAGGGATGGAAAAGAACTACAGAGATCACAAGTGAAATTCCTAGGCCAAAAAAACCATGACCAAGTCAGAATTTCTCTTTACAACATCAATAAATATCAAGTAAACAAGTGATGAGAATAAAGACGAATATAAATTACTAGTTTTTCTAATATAAAAGTCTCCGAACTCAAATCGTAATAGTTCTAGGGCAGACAGTAAGGAGAATTTCTAATGAGATCTTGGCAGCAGAAGGGTTGAACTGTGACGTGGTTCCGGTAGCGACTTTTTTTTGATTTGGAGAAAAAACCCCGAGTTAAACATCTAGGTACTAGTGAGCTGTGTACATTGCCAGCTTTCTGATGAGAAAATCGCTTAACAGGCAGCTGTTAATGTAACAATAAAAGCTCCGACCGGAGTCAAAAATGCTTCCAACTACTGCCAATGACGCTCAAGAATTTTTTGTCAGTTAAGCTGAAGACTTTTTCTTATCTTTACTAGCTCCCTTTTGCTTTGATTCCTGTGTTGCATTTTACGGGAGACAGAGCCATCATGGGATCTTTTAAGAATGGAAGGTAAGCTAATCTGTCTTTGTATCGTTGGATCAATATCAGTATATCCTCGTTGGACCAATATCAGTATACCCTCGTTGGATCAATATCAGTATATCCTCGTTGGACCAATATCAGTATATCCTCGTTGGATCAATATCAGTATATCCTTGTTGGATCAATATCAGTATATCCTCGTTGGACCAATATCAGTATCTGGGCAACTGCCCACCTACCCCTCCCCTAATTCAACAAGAGTCAATTGATAACAAGTTAGGGTTAATGTTGGGTTAGGGGAGGGGTAGGTGGGCAGTTGCCCAGATACTGATATTGCTCCGTATCGTTTTTATACCCTGGTTATATTCCATATTGTACCAATCCCGCCTTGTAAAAAATCCTGCAGGGTTTGATAAGAGACAAGCCTATCATCTGGAGGGTGTTTCTTTGATTAAACTCTAAGCTCTCTTAAGAAATGAAAGGAAAAATGTGTGAGCAGTTAGTCATTTGTGTGTTTATCCTTCAACGTCTAAGTGTTGTTGCAGACAAAATTATGGTAATTTAAATTTTGAAAAAATTTGGGTTAATGCTGACGCTCCAACTCGTACCGACGTTTTAAATGAGAGCAATGACAGCCAGTCCTTCTTTTATTCCTTCTGGTAAGAGGAAGCAATCAGGAAAAAGAATAGCAAGCGAAAATGCGTCACTCTTTCTCTCGTTCGCCCCAAACAAACGAACTGAGTACCGAGAACAGGCCATTAAGCGGATATATGCGTGATAATCACTTAATTAACTTTTATCGTTCAATATCGTTTGTGCTATATGATTTCTTTTTTACTCTTCTTATGTCTGATTGAGATCCATTTAATTGTCGTCCTGTTGTTTTCTTTCCTAGGGTGATGCAAGGTGCAGCTTGGTTTTTGTCTGTTGTAGTTATAGGAATTAACATGTTTTTTGTCGCAGAATATGTGGTGAGTTTTGTTTTGACGCTTGTCTACAATGTTTGTCAATATGTTATGCTTTACATTAATGACTTACGTAATCTACTTCTAGGCGAACGTATGAGAAGTCCGCTTATCGCGAATTATATGCACTAAATAACCTTTTGCAACCTTAATTTTTTTCTACAAAAATTATATCAAATAGCGCTCTCAATGGTGAACATTTATCCCTGTTTATGTATTTACTCTAGCGTCTTACCCATCTCTTACTTGTCTTTTCCGCGCTTTGGGTCGCGATCATCTTAGTAGTAAAAAAAAGGAGAATTTTGTTACAAATCAAGAACTTTTCAAGTTTGCGATCATTTCCTTAATTTCTCATAAGCCTAATGTTTGATACAGCAGTGCTATTTTAGTGAGAAATTAGATGCTAATCACCTTCAGGGGCTTAAGGGTTAAAGTGAGTAAAACATTTGGGATGAATATCAGTATCTGGGCAACTGCCCACCTACCCCTCTCCTAACTCAACAACAGTCAACTGACAACAAGTTAACGTTAATGTTGGGTTAGGGGAGGGGTAGGTGGGCAGTTGCCCAGATACTGATATTGATCCGACATATGCTGGATATGATCTTTTTCCTCTTTTTACTTGTTTTTTTGTTTTGTTTTTTTTCTTTAATTTCACTGCTTTTTTTCCTGGTGTCTAGAAGTTATTTCTAACGATCATTACATAAATTAAGATCACCAGATAGCTAATATGAAACATGTAAGCTTGGAGCCCTGTTCTTGCTGAAGGTTTAGTCGGGCATTGTATTTAAGAATATGAGAGTGTAATGTAATGTTTAATGAACTCCTGTTCCAGATTTTTGGTTGTGGAATGTCCGTCGCATCAACTTTTCTCTGATGTCGTTTCATTTGTTGTCTTTCAGTCCGAAATACCAAGTAACGGAGGCTACTATTTTTTAGTTGGATTGTACCTTCTTTTCTACGTTGCTTTTCTTTTGTTATTGGTAAGTAACCTGTGTTTAGATTTCTATGCCCTGGTTCTAGACTGAGGTTTCAATTTCTTATTTATCCTCGTCTCAGTCTCCTTCGCAACCTTTGTCTGGTCTATTCATGTGACGCACTCTCTACCTCGCCAACGTCTGCTTCAATCGGAAGCACATTCCTTTCTGTAAGTGTAGCCAATCAGCAGAACGCGGAATTCTTCTTTTTTTCTTTTTGTTGAGGGAAAGGAAAGTTTGTTTTCGAGTTGAATACGGATGCGAATGGACAGAACCTGAAAAAATTACGATAACGATAATGGCTTTGTGATCTATTATGTTAGGTTTATTTTGCGCTTGGGTTCACCTTCTTGGATTTCATCAAGGTATGAAATGGTGTTTTAATATTTCATTTACTAGAAAGTGAACTATTTTTTCAAGATCTAATGGAAGAAATTTCTGGGATTAAACGATCGTCATCGATACTTTTTTTTTGTTATAAGCTATTAAAACTAGCCTTTCATCGGTGAGATTACTTCCCTAAGAATTTGGTGACGTACATTCTACTGGCACGGCACGGATCGGCGCAAATTGTTGTACCTTCACAAACTTTTAACAAGAACGACGGATAAACTGCTTCTGTTTATGTAACATTTTGGTTTGAGCTTCGGGAAAAAAAGGTATACGCATGTAAAACACATCGACCAACTGGCGTGTGTGATTAGTTTAACTCTTTAGTGGCAGTCTGGTTATAGCAGCCTGAAAGCATGCGCAAAGCGTCACGCCGAGCCATTACAACGTTCGCACATGCGCGTTACGTTTTGGATACGCTTACTTCAACATGTGCGATTTGTGAATGAACGACGATATTTATTAGAAAATACGTAGGAAAACGAGTACCTGTGAAATTGCAATTTGTTTGAATTTTGTTTTCGGCAGGTTTTGAAAAGACCTGACTCAATTCAATACGTCCCTCAGGAAGATGATAATACTGTTTCCAATGGCTTCTCACAGTGACGTGGATTCGAGTTAATTTAGCTTAGGGGTTAGTGATGCTATTAAAGGCAATGAGTTGTACTAGTGTAAGGCCTTGTCACGCGTTGGTATATAATAGTATGTCATGATGAAGCCATGCTTCTTTTAAGATTTAAAGTAAGAGAGAGATTTTAAAGACCATGTTAGGTAGTGCTATACAAACAATAAAAAAAACGAGTAATAGATGGAATAATAAATAAGATATTTTTTTTACCAAGCAACAAGAAGGAGAAAAGTGACAACAAATATTGCCTTGGTGATGAATCCCTGTCCCAGTCCTTGATCGTGAAGGCTACCGTATAATGCTTTCGTAGCCGTCAAGACAAGGTGCAATGTAGTTTTTTAAAAAATTCTAATTTATGCTGAATAAAGGTCATTCACAGGAAAGCTAAAACTGTGCAAATTATTCGCGTTCAATACCGTTGAACCTCTTGTTTGGAACACCTATGGGGGGAAGGGTGAGGGGCACAACTTCGAATTCGGTCCCGGAAAAGTGTCCAATAGGTCATTTTACAGTCGTGTACGTAGTTGCCAAGCCTTTGATTGAGGCTGAAGGTGACCTTGGTGTGATAGAGACCAGTATCTAGTTAGCATGATAACAAAGTAATATACATTTGAAAAGCAGTTGGTATCATAACAAGGTCACCCTTAGCCTCACTCCTGTTCAGTGGCCTGGCAACCAAGCACAAATTCCAAATGGGCTATTTATATTAAGTAAGTAAATGGATGCCTCCGTGTTGAATAAGAGAATGTGTAGCAGTCCAACCGCCCTAGAGGGATAAACGCCTAAGAATCTTTCACAAACAAAACTGGGTGAATTATAAATTGTAGTCATCTTTGAAGGGTGCAAGAGAGTTGGTCTTCATCCTTCAAAATCATTTGCCATTTCATTTACGATTCTAACGTGGAAGGGGCACCATAGATCAGGAAATCCCTTCATTCAGGGAACAAAAGTTTTGGCCCCGGGACAATGTTCGTGAAATGTTTGTATTTGCTACTCAACCGACGAGGACACTTCCATTTAGAGGAACACCTAGTCTCGTACCCAGACCTTACTCGGGGACAAGAAAACATTTTCTGGGTCCAAAAGTACTCTTTTAATTTCCCTTAAAGGGTCACCTTAACTAATCAATATGTGACTAAAGATTAAGTGTACACTCAAAATGATACCGCAGTATTGTGTAGAGGTATAACTTGTCGTTCCGGTTTGCAACATTTACTCGATGCACTTGTAGTTTTGTTTTGATTGCTTGTTTTTAAAAATCATTTGGGGAAAGGACAACAACAGGACTACTTTTTGTCTTAGATTTTTAACATGGATGAGATGCCAATGCAATTCGGACTTTTGTTAAGGCGCACTCTCGGCTTAGCTCGGCTTATAAATGAATACATGCCCATTTGGTGTTGTTGAAATGCGCTAAATTTTTTTTCCAAAACTTTTGACCATAAGCTGAACCCCCCTATTTAGCTTAAATTTCGCATAACTCTAGCTTCTAATTTCTATTAAAAATCGGTCGGCTTGAAGCTTGTCAGCGTTCGCTGCTTAATGAAGGATCTTGGTTTTGGATACTTCAACTGGGTGCTTGGAATATCGACTCGGGCATATTTTAACCGACTAACCTCTATTTACATGGGTCCTGAAAATGTCTCCGAAAGGACGATTTACTGTTCTTTAAAACTTGCACAAAAATCAGAGTCAATGAGCTGCATCACAGCTGGTTGGGTTGAAAATTTAGAAGTCACATCACAGACACCTTCACAAACCTGGTAACGAGTACCTTAAGTACCTTTCGTTTTTATTTAACCATTCGACCCTGTAAGAGTGACTAACATTTAATTTCTCCTTACAATATCACCCCTGAATCACACATTAAGGTCACGAGAATATAGGAAATGATCACCAACTGAAGAAGCTGTTGATTGTTAAACGTTGCAGATCCTTCTTAACCTTTATATCTGTTATATCAATTTTTAGCAGCCTTGCACAGACTGCTCACCCTTCAGATTATAACTGAGGACGAATTACGATTGGTTCTCAGTTGTGATTTCATAATGTTATCTTTGAATGTAAGAGGCTCGCGTAACTTTAACAAACGACGTTCATTATTTGCATGGTGTAGAAAACAAAATGCAAATATAATTTTTCTTCAAGAAACGCATTCCACGCGCGATAAAGAGAAGCAATGGAAAGCTGAATGGGGCGCTCCTATAGAGGTCGCTCGTGGGAGCAGTAATGCAAGAGGTCTTGCGATCTTATTACATAATGGCTTTGATTGTAATATAAAACAAAAATTTGTGGATCCTGCCGGCAGATATGTTGGTGTTCAAGCACAAATTAACGATGAAAAATATCATCTGTTTAACGTTTACGGTCCAAACAGTGATAATCAAGCTGCAAAATTTCATGATCATCTCCTTGCGGTCCTGAAAAAAGAAGACCTCACTTATGAAAATAGGATAGTTTAGGAGGGGACTTTCACCGTCCTATGAATTCGATGTTGAATAAACAAGGTGGGATAATAAGGACCAGAAAGAAAATCGTTGAACGTATTGAAGAAATTTGAATGACCTTTAATTTGCATGATATTTGAAAGGTTAAAAACCCAACAAAAAAAGCTTTTCGTAGTCTCAAAAATCTCCATTTATCTTTTACAGATTATATTATTGGCTCATTTCAGAAACACTTCAAGACCTGATTGAAAATGTAGACATCATAGCCGCCATTAAAACGGATCATTGGGCACTTGTACTGCATTTACAGGAGGTTGAAGAGATTAAAAAGGTTCGGGATTCTGGAAAATGAACTCATCGCTTTTGTCAGACGAACTTCATCTGACAAAAGCGATGAGTTCATTTTCCAGAACCCCGACCCTTTTTAATCTCTTCAACCTCCTGTAAATGCAGTACAGGTGCCGAATGATCCGTGAAAGTTTATTCAACAAATGAAAACATATTTAGAGGTATGGAAAAATTAAGAGAAAGAATATAAGGGTTGCTTGGGGTTGGATTAAAAGTAATGTCCATCTTTTTTCGATACAATACGCAAAAGAGCTAGCTAAAATTAAGAGAGGGAAAGAGGAAAGTCTGCAGAAGAAACTCCAAGTTGCACAAATAGGATTTCAACAGAACCTTCGTGAAGAATTTGAAGAGATTCTTAACAAGTGTAAACTTGAATTAGAAAAAGTTTTTGGCGAGAAAGCTGATGGATTAATTGTGCGTTCAAGGGCAAGATGGCACGAATATGGGGAAAACAGTACAAAGTATTTTTTAAGTTTGGAGAAAAGAAAGGATATAAGGAAACATATTAGAAAACTCTTTCTTAGTGGAGTTATGAAAAAAGACTGGACTCGTCCTCAAAATATCATAAAAACCTTTATAGTCGGAAAGTCAATACGGTGAAGCCTGGTATTTTGAAACACTTTCTTGTTCAAGCAAGAATTACAAAATTATCTGAGGAAGATAGACAAAGTTGTGAAGGACTTACAACTATTGAAGAATGTGTAAAAGCACTGGATACTTTTGAAAAAGGAAAAAATTCTAGGTATGACGGCATACCTGCAGAGTTTTATAAAACTTTTTGGAGTTCTGTAGGTGAGCTCATGACGGATACTTATAACTGCTCTTTTGACTCGGGAGAAATGTCAAGTTCACAAAAACAGGCAATTATCACATTAACTGATAAAAAAGGTAAAGATCGAATGTATTTAGAAAGTTGGAGACCAATTTCTTTAGTCGATGCTGACTCCAAGTTTGCGGATCAATATCAGTATCTGGGCAACTGCCCACCTACCCCTCCCCTAACCCAACATTAACCCTAACTTGTTATCAATTGACTGTTGTTGAGTTAGGGGAGGGGTAAGTGGGCAGTTGCCCAGATACTGATATTGATCCAAGTTTGCTTCTAAGGTCATAGCCAACAGAATCAGAAAGGTTCTTCCTCGAATAATCCACCACAATCAATCCGGTTTTGTCGAGGGTAGATTCCTTGGAGAGGTGGCTCGCTCAATCCTTGGGATTTTCTTTATCACTCATTAGAGGTTTTTAATTTTGGTCCCACCCTAATAAGATGGATTAAACCTTCTATAAGAATGTCTCCAGCTGTATTTTAAACAATGGATCATTTTCCGAGCCCTTCAAGCTAGAAAGAGGTGTAAGGCAGGGAGACCCTCTGTAACCCTACTTATTTGTTGTGGCAATTGAAATATTGGCTATATCTCTTTGGACAAACGAACATATTGAAGGCATAAAAATCGATAATGACGAAATCAAAACACTCTTATATGCTGATGATATGACTGCAACTTTGGCGAACATATCTTCTGTATAAATTTTCATCCAAATACTGAACAACTTGGAAAAATTTCCTGGTTTGAAAATGAATATCTCAAAAACTAAAGCGATGTGGATTGGGGCAAGTAAGAACTCATTAGAGAGACCTCTGAGTGGTGCATTGGAGTAAAAACGTTAGGAATTCACTTCTCGTGTGATCAAGGGCAAATCATAAAGCACAACTTTCACGCAAGATTAAGTGAAATCCAAGAGATGCTCAAAGTATAGGTTTAAGGGTTTTATCCTTGTTTGGCAAAGTGACCATAATAAAATAACATCATAATTTCTTATACCAAAGCTGTTATATGTTTCTACAATATTGAAAACTCCAGAAGAAATTATTAAACAGATGGAGAGGATGATAGATAAGTTTTTGTGTAAGGACCAGATAAAGTGACAAGACTCTCCGTTATTAACTCGCTTCAAAACGGTGGCTTGGATCTAGAAACCCAAATTAAAGCCTTAAGGTTGTCCTGGATTGCGCGGGTTCTTGATGAGCGCGTTGGTCCATGGAAATCATATTTTGTATTTTATTTGAAAAAATACGGAGGGATGTTTCTGTTAAAATGTAATTATGATGTAAAGGATCTTAATTTAAATTTAAACGACTTTTATAGGCGGTTACTTATCTGGTGGGCGGATTTTAGAAATGCTTCTTCTGATATCAATTATGCCCATTATGTAATTTGGAATAATAAAGACATAAAAATCGATAACAAACCTATTTTCTATAAAAAAAATTATGCAGATTGAGGAATTGTTTATGTAAACGATCTATTATTTAATTTGGATAATGTACGTTCTTTGGAATGCCTTAAGAATAAAGGGCTTGAATCTAATTTTTTTTAAAATGGTCTGCCTTGCGGTTGTCTGTGCTAAGGACAACGTTTCGTCTTTTCCACGGGTGAAATTTGACCCTTTGATTTTTAAATAAAATAATACAGAATTCGACACCTACTCAGCTAAGTCAAAAGAGTTTTATGCATTGCTGATCACCAACAAATATCCGAAAAGGTCAATTACTTTATCGGCCGATTTGGAGCTTTCAAACAC